GCCACGACGCAACTAGAATTAAAACTAAAAATTGCGTTTTATATTGCGTTGTGACAGAATGACAAACTGTTGATTGTGCAGCACTTTTATTTGTCCCCCAAAATTTGTCAGCACAATTAATACTGGAATAACTTATGCTAAACTCTCAGTCAGTAAATCTGTTTTGGATACGTGTGTGAGAAATGTATTCCTGTGTCAATGTCCAGCTGGGAGCAGCTACAGAGATATGCCTCTTCTGATTTTCACGATGAGAAACAGTAACATCATTCTGCGTCAAGTTTGTGGTCACAGATTCTGCACTTTGTAAAATGGTTTTGTGTTTGTTAATGTACAGCCAGTTGGATTTAGCTCTAGCAAAGGGAAAATACTACTTAAGGGACATATGTTTGCTTTCTTTGCCAGGAGTTATTTGAAAGAATTATGTATTACATGGACAATCATCAGTATCAATCATGAATCCATGAAAACATGGAAATATGCAATAATGCATCAGTGTGTCATTTCATGCACTTTATTATTTACTATAATGTAGATCAGAAAACCCCGACCCTAAAACCATATTTTAAGCTGTCGCATCATTTGGTGTTTCATGAAGTTCTTTCTTTCTCAAAGCTGAGAATCTGATGTGAACTACTTTGTTAAGTTGCTTTGGTCTCAATATTGTTCAATACATCAGGAGCAAGAATTGTGAATCTGTGAGAAATGTGAATGGAGGTTTTTCTCTGAAAATGTGGGGAAAAGTGCCCCTTAAAATGACTAATGTGACCCTGACCTTGAGCACAGTTTGGGTGAAGACCCATCTGCTGATGATTGAGTGCAACTTCACTAAAATCTTACCAATACTCTCAAGGAGGAGCAATTCTTGTGACTTGTAAACAGACAGACGACAGATGCCTCGGCACTGCATGAGCTCATCACTCCTTCATTAAAATGAGCTGAATTAAAGGCACCATAGTTGAGTAATATGGAGTCTTTGGACCAGCACTCTTTTTCAGCCATGGAGGTTTCTGCTTAATAAAAGTTTACCACTGCAGATTTTACAAATAGATGTACAGACCAAAACCATTTTCTTGGCTATAAACCTTGTGCTGTGAAGTTAGTGATGTTACCATGGGAATTAAATGGATTTCAATCAGCCTCAAGTGGCCGTTAAGGGGACTGCAGTTTTTGGCATTCAAGTGTTGTCCTGGGTTTGCTCTGACTTGTCTCAGATATTTGTCAGATATGGCAGCGGAGACTCACACCGGTGTCAGAGCAGTCTGACTTTTTCTTTGTATAACTATCAACCTAAGCGCAACACAGCAGCAAGAAAGTTGGCACCACCTTGTGGCCTAATAAAGCAGCTGCAGTTACAATTTAACAGCAATTGACAGTTTACAGAGTTGAAATAAAAGCACAAGTATCACTTGGGTTTTTGTACAAGTCAAACATACAGGAGACGTGCTTAGAAGCATGTCTTACAATATACCTTGAGATGACTGCGGTTGTAAGTTTGTGCAAGCTGAGGCATTGAATAGATAATGTGTGATTTAGTCATTAATGGTTATGGCACATGGAGTTTGTGATGTAAGGACAGAATCAGGTCAACTCAGTTTTTATGCTCAGCTAAGTCAACCATAAGTGAATCAACATATTCTCCAAAGTGTTGACATGTTCCTTTAGCACCACACATTAAAGTGGCTTCGTCTAGTATTTGAAGTATTTTCATCTTCTTTTTCTTTCCCAGGTGGGCTTCATCGACTACATCGTCCACCCGCTGTGGGAAACGTGGGCCGACCTGGTTCATCCAGATGCTCAGGAGCTGCTGGACACGCTGGAAGAGAACAGGGAGTGGTACCTGAACACCATGCCCCAGTCTCCCTCGCCTCCTCCAGATAGACATCTCCAGCATGACCGCTTCCAGTTTGAGATCACTATTGAGGACCTGGAGCAAAACAACCACAACCACATACACATGAGAAACAGCAGCGGGAGGAGTGGCCGGAAAGCCATCTCTGATAACAACGACGAGGACTTCATGCAGGACGGCCAGGTGGAGGCAAACGGAGAGGAGCAGAATCATGCAGAAGATGACAAAGATGAGCAGGAAAATCACAACAGTGAACAGAATGGAGTCCAGGAGGAAGAGGAGGAGGAGGAAGAGGAGGAGCAGGAAGAGAAAGAGGCAGAGGAGGTGCAGGAAGAAGGGCAATTTGAAGAAGAAGGAGCACAGACAGAGGAAGAAGAAGCCAATGATGTAGCACAAGAGGAGGAAACAAAAGGGGAGGAGGAAGCTGAAGAAGAAGAAGAAGAAGAAGAAGGCGAGGAAGGGGGAGAGGAGAAGGGAGACTGCGAGGAAGGTGGAGAAACTGCATATGTAGAAGAGGAAATAGATGGAGAAGAAGTAGAAGATGAGAGAGAAGAGGACATTGAAAATGAGGAAGCAGAAGTGGAAAAAGAGGAGGCTTTGGAACAGGAGGAGGGGGATGTTGAAGAGGATGAGGGGAAAGAGGAGGAAGAAGTGGAGGATGAGGAGGAAATAAAGGAAAATGTGGAAGAGGCAGCAGCAGAGCAGGGAGAGGAGGAGGCACCAGAGGAGGCAGAGGAAGAAGTACAAGAGGAAGAGGAGAGCTAGCCAGGTGTAAAAAGGTGAATTCACAGGGTCAGTGAGGAAAGACTGAGATGAAGAGGGCCAGAAAGAGGCCACAACGGCAGCGAGTGGGTGTAGAGGATGATAAATAGCTGATGACGCCCTTCCTTCCAAATAACGCGCTCTGACCACTTAGTCCTGTGAGCATCGTAGCTGAGGAGCAGTTTGTTGTCTGCTCCGGACATCCTTAAAACACTCAGAGAAACACTGAAAGACCAACCGTACACCGAAAACAAAACCTCTCTGGATCTTCCCAAACGCAACTTGAGGAGCCGGTAGTGACAGACTGGAGTCTTCTTCACCTGGTGTCTGTAAATCCATCACTGCCATGGAGGATGAACTGGGGGGATGATAATGATGATAATAATAACAATAATAATAATAAAAGGGAAGGGATTTGTTCTGTCGACCTTTTTGTAGCTCCTGGAAATCTAACAAAGCCTGAAATATGCACATGCAAACAAGTGCGTGCCTGTTCTGTTCTTATAGACTACCCTCCGTTGTCTCTCGGTCACTGTCTCAGTCCCGTTGATGAGGAAGATAACATCTCACACACACAGTGAGCATCAAATGCTAAAAGAATGTCAGCTTCCTCCGTTTGTCAGAAAACAGAAAAAAATAATGCAAAAAAAAAAAAAGTCTGGAAAGTGTAGTCTGTCATCTCACATTTACTAGAAAAAAACGTTCCACTTGTGAACAGGAATGCCGAGTACACCTCCAGGGATGTGGTCCAGGAACAGTTTAACCTCGTCACATACTAACCTTAATGCAACAATGCTGGATTTCTGACACTGTCTCTGAGTAATATGTGGACCGTTATAGCTCAGAAGCCTGATCTGTTGTACATGTCGATGTTGGTTAATGTTTTAAAAATAATAGTAATAATAATAATAATAATAATTAAAGAACACCCAGTATTCATCCTATCATGACAGGTTCACCTGAATCGTGCCAAACCGTCCCACAACCAGCACTGAGCAATTCAGCCTCCGAATGAGGGGGCTACTCGTCACGAAGCAATGAAACTGTGGGACCCGGCCACCAGGTGTGATGGTCTTCCACAAATCCCATTGTTTTATTTTGTTTGATTTTTTTGATTGTTTGGTTTTGTAAAAAAAAGAAAATGTATTTGGCACTTTATCTAACACCCCTGTTACATATCTGTACATAGTAAACATGTATTTTAATCTGCTGATGTCATATAATAAATACAATCAATGCAGCTGATGGGCTGGAGTCTCTAATTGCACAAGAGCTGAAACAAGAAGCCATTAAAGGAAAAAGGATAAAATTATTTTTTTTTAAATATATATATAAATTACCAATATTATTGCCTGACAGACATGTATTGGTATTGGCGTGTGTCTTGCCAAATGTTTTTTAACGCTCTTCCTAATGCGACTCCGCAGGGAATTGTGTCTCCTCCTGGGATCAAACTGGACACCTTTTGCTTGTCAGGCTAAATGACTACACTATGAAGCCATTTTTACAGATGAAAGATGTTTGGAAACAGTGTTCTCAGTTTATCCAGCAGTGGATCTCCCACTCTGTTACTTGTACAGATCTCACTCTCTCTGCAGCACAGAGTAGCATGAAGACGGACCAGACCTGGGCTCAGCAACCTTTACTAAGAAACATAACTGCCAAACTTTGAAGCCTCACAATGAAGATGACAGGCTCTAATAATTATAAGTTAGCGTATCCAAATGAACAGGTGTAAATAATTAACATCTTTTATCACATAACTACTCTGCAGTACGTTATTTATCATTACCTGGTTTTTTAAATTTGCCTTTTCATTATAGTTATTCTCCTTTTAGTGCATTTTTTATTATTAGAGAACTAAAATAAAAAGTTTTTTATACACATATATATATATATACACATATATACACACATATATATACATACGTATACATACATACGTATATACATACACGCACACGTATACACTCGTACGTACACGTACACACACACGTACACACACACACACACACACACACATACATACATATACATATATATTTACTGTTTTACTTCAGTAACAACTGTAAAGTGGAGAGACAAAAATTAGCATTTTTAGGCCTACTGTGAAACAGAGTAACTACAAAGTGGTCTGCAGAGCTTTGATTTATTTCTGTTTGTAGAAATTTATCAAGTCAAAATGTAGCAGTCCAAGAGCTTTAAAAGTTATATAAAAAGATGGGTTTTCAGTTCTTTGACTTAAACCCAGCTGCATGTGGAATCCATAGCAACGGAGGGTGAAGACTAAACATTTATGTGTATTCAGCCGAGCTAATCATCGCTGTAGAGGTCGGCAAATACAAGAGAATGAAGTAACACGTGTTAGACGAAGGAGATGAAGCACATGTGAAAACGTTTTTTCTTTTTTTAATTCAGTGTAAAGGCTACATACTTTCACAGCTGGAGGATGTAGAGACAAACTTTTAAAAAACACTGCAAAATATCCATTGTTCATTTTGTGTTTATATTATTGTCTTTTGACGATACCACATTGAGCCCCTGCATATGTAAAAGAGCCGCAGATCTGAAATCCCTGGACCCAGAACACAACTGTAACAGAATCCATATTTATTAAAGAACTCAATACTGACACATGACAGACATGCATTTCCTGTTTCACAGTCACACAGGAGGAAGCAGGTAAAACTGAGCCTGAATGTCTTCTTTGGGGTTCATAAAGTGGTTGAAGCTGAGGAAACAACACACAGTCTGTAATTAAAGAAAACTAAATAAAATAAAATGAAACACAAGCAAACTGGAAACAACTTCACACAGAGAAACAAAATGAAGCATGCTACTAAGAGTCAAACCCTACAAAAAGCTACAGCAAAGAGTAGTAACTGATTTACTTTAAAGTGTATTTAACACATTCATCAGTTATTTTGTCCTGCTTTCAGCCACAGAGTGGGGGGAAGTGTTTACAGATGTAAACAATTTTTTTATCAGCTTTGCTACATGTCTTTGTTTTTTCTTGAATCTTTTAGTTGATACACAAACAAGCAGATCCGAAATGCAGTAACACAATTATATAATTATACTCACACACTTTAAGTGTAAGGAAAGGAAATCTTATTTGGAAGATAAATACATATTAAAAACATCTCAAGGTGCTTCGGGAGTTCTGATGTCAGAAAAGCAGAAGAGTTTTTCAAATGCAGACTTGAAACCAGCAACACGTCAGCTTACGCTGGATTGCACCTCAGTGGCTTAACAACAGCACGAGGCAGCGAAATAAGATGACAGCAGAGCATCTGACACGTGAATCGGGTCCAGTCGGGGATGTGCTGAACCCACCTGAACACCCTTACATCAAATGCTTAGATTTGAAATACAATATTCTGATGCACACAAAAGTGTAAAAGAACTGTAAAATCCTCTGAATGAATAATAGATTGTTTTATTTTTGCCACAGATTTTGTTGTACTTGAGTTTCTTAATGGCACAGCTAAAGCAACAATAACTACTAAAGCCTTGGACTGTTTGGGTTTTACAATAAACAGAGCAACAGCTCCTGCCTTTGCTGCTCATTATTTGTGTGTGTGCGTGCATCCCACTAGCCTGTTGACTGAACTGAGTATTTTAGAATTCAGTGACTGATTGAAAGTGGTTGCAGCAATTAAGTGCTAACCAGAGCATAAACACGGGTGCACAGGTCACCGCGTGGGAGACAAACTGTGTCCAAAGCAGTCACTCCAAAGTGAGCACAACACATCCATGTCATATCTCTTTGCAATAAGGGGCTCAAGTCAGCTGGTTGCCAACTGGTTGTATTCTTGTTATGTACCTAAATAAAAGCAAGGTAGCAGAGTTAATGTCATTCTGTAGTTAAATCGCAGCCCTGCAGCCATGCGTCAGTATTTGTGGAGGAACTTTCTGTTTCCTATTTGTGAGACTCTGACGTTCAGCACTTTCTGTGAATTTCTGACCGCAACATATTTGTGATTTCTCATAGCGAATCTCTGCATTATAACAAATGATCACAAACAGATTGTATGTACCCCCTCGAGTTGCAGACTGACGCCTCTTATTGCAGTTTTATCGCGTTTTGATCCATCAAGCTTGGAATACAGATCACAACAACTCACTGACGAGTAGTTAGACTAGATCTTCAAAAGGCAACAAGATCTCAAGGTCACAATACTTTTAGTTGCACTGCTGTGTCCAGCCACCGTTTACCATAGTGTGACTCCAGTGTCAGTGCTTGGTGTTTCTTTGGAATACCAACCAGGTATAAAGGAACTGGAAGTAACGGATTCCATGTGCAATGTAAGACTTTCAACTCTTTTTTAAAATAATGTAAGACATTTTTCTTTGCCTGAATCACAGTTGCTACTTTTTTTAAATCACAGCAAATTGTTAAAAACAAAAAACCTACGCACACAAAGTAATAGGATTTTCAAAAATACAAACTTGCTTGGTGTTACTTCATGAAGTGTCCAAACCTGAAAGCATCTCCATCTTCTGGTTGAGTTTTTCTTCCTCCCTGGCTTCACTATCACTCTCTCTTCTTTCAATTGTTAATTTCACACCCAGCACAGAGTATAAATCCGAGTTTGTGAAGTTTTCAGTGGCCGGTCAAAGACATCCAGTCAGGAAAGTTGTCAATCTCTCCCGTTTCGCTCAGATGTTGGTCTCCGTGCATCAGTGTGAGCTTGTAGCGCAGGCGGACTTTACGCTGAGGGAAAAATAAGGAACATCTTAGGAAATTGGCTGAATTTCTCCAAAGAAAGAAATAAAGAACAAATATTTTAAATATTATCAGCATTATCTTTTGTGTTGTGTTGTAATATAAAACAGAGTATGGTGTTTATCTACAGCTTTACTCTCTTAACCATTCCTGCCATGTACAGGAAATGTGTAAAGCATCTTACTGAGGATCCGACAATTTATAGCAAGAGCAAAACAACCCTGCTCTGTGGAAATATACAACAAAAACAAGTATAAACAAACAAACTCACATGTAGAGACGCTGAAAACTTTAATCAAGGTAGACAGGCAGTAACAGTTACATGCATATAACTCACCCTCTGAGGATTAGCTAACAGGAGGACCTGGGAGACAGCAGGTGGAGGCAGGACAGGGTTGTATGGAGGTAGGCGTGTCCCTGAGGCAGGCTGAAGTTTCACTAACATCGTCTGTGTGACAGTGATTAAAGTAAGAAAGAGCTGTGTGCCCAACTCAGATAGGAAGCAGGCAGACACTTGAAGTGGTTTCAAACAGAAAAACACTGACAGGGACTGCCCCACAAATTTGAACTGTCAACCCGACTCCAGCAGGGGGCGCCAGATACATTTTGTTGTGATTTGATAGTCTGAGCCATTACAATTAACTGCACAGAGCTTGATGTAACAGCTGTCACAGGCCAATGACCTAGCTTCCTCTCCATCTAAACATATACAAAGCTGTAATATTTTTAGACCCACAATGAAGCTACAGTTTGATATTCCCTTTTATACAGACAAAGCCTTCGTGTCATCAAATAGACACACACAGAGGTGTTACCAATCCCACCTGTGTGTGAGGTGAAGGCCAAGTGCATAACATAATTCATTCCATCAGTAACACCCGTGTCTACCTACTTCTTAAGAAAAAACATCTGCAAGTGAGAAAAATGTGTACTGGCATTTATACAGCACTTTCCTAGACTTATTGACCAGTCACTATTTAAAATTCAGAAATTCTAGCACTAATTTCAACATTTTATTTCATTTTTTAAGCAAAACTGTGAAAAAAGTACATCATTTGAACCAGCCTGCTTTCTTTGTTGTATCTTTTTTGTTTCAAGATTAAAGAGGTTTGAAGTCGACACGTCCTAAAGATATTTTCAAACGTTTTCCTGATTCAAAAGTGCATCCGTCCACATTTTAAAAACATCACCCTGCAGTTTGAGTTTGTTACCTTTGGAACAGCAGCTTGAAACAGGAAGTCTCTCACATCGAGCGCAGATGTGTTCACTGCAGACATGACGACCACGGCGACACCTGGATGACCTGGCGGAGGGTCTCTAGCGAAATGAAGAGATACGTGGAAACCGGCCCGGTTGTATAACGTGATCGGCTCCAGCTGACCTAACAATTAAAAAAATGAAAATAACAATTAAACAAAGTATCTGCTGATACTGAGAAACGACTTCCTCACAGCTGCAAAACTCGCGGCAAACACTGGATGATTCGCTTCAGACGACTTACTGGATTTGATGCTTTCCATTGGAACAAAGATGTTGTTCAGGAGGTGTGGGGGGCATGAGTCCTCTAGTTTCACTGGAGAACCTGAGCCTTCATTTGATGGTTTGTCCGACCATTTGAACTGCTGACTTTGAGGGTGAGACCTAACGGGAGAAAAGGCAGATTTTTAAAAACAAAAGGTTGTTTACAACTCTGACCAAGTGCATGCAAAAGCTAGAAATTTCTTTGCTATCTTACCAAATGTCTGTCCCGTTAGTTGTCGCACTGCTGCCCCCACATCCACGGGCTCTCAGTAAAAGCCCCCCTCCTCCGTTCTGCTCAGCATTAAAAATGTCTCCATTTAACTAAAAGTAAAAGAACATGTTAAATCGCATATTCCAAATAAAATGCATGTTTAAATCTTCCATTCAAGCCTCACCTGCATCAGTTCCTCAGAATAGGACTTGGAATTCTCCTGAGTCCTTTGCTTTGAGACCAGATCTAATCACACAACAGGACGTCATTACATTATGAAGCGTATTTGTCAGTGTTACAGACAATAACGGCGAAATAAGAACAAAAGCAGGCCCACCTAATTCGTTTAAGTCCTGGTCGTCTTCTGAGCTGAAAGCTTTTTCCAGATAAGAGGTGAAGACTGGTGACGAAGATTCGAATACAGGCAGGGAATCGGCTTTCCTGTGAGTCTGCGGAGAGTCCAGCGCTGACAGATCGATGAGGTGGTAGCTCTTAACCTCTCTGTGACTCGTAGGAGCTGGACCAACGAGAGAAAAGAGGTTCGCAAACAAGATTTTTCCACGAGGACTAAAAGGTGAACAAAATGAAGCCTACCCGTATTACTTGTCACTTCTTCACTTTTACTTCGTGCTCTTTCTCCGTTACACTCTGCTCCCACCACCCGGACTTTGTAAGCGTTCACTACGAGAGTCAAGTCATCGTTAGCTGCCAGGATCTGCGCCAGAGCAGCGTCGTCTTCCATCGTGTCGCTGGCTAGTCGAAAGAGGCTGGGCCTCAGCCGGTCGCAGCGCTCATACAGCGTCTGCAAAGGTTTAAAAAAAAAAAATTTTTTTTAATGTTTTCTTTTTTTTTTTCTTTTTTTAAATGGATCATTTAAAAAAAGAAAGCTTGGTTTTGACCTTTGTACAAAAGGTCCTATTTTTTGAGGTGTATTTCTCGTTCAAGTTAATCAACTGTCAGACACTGTGCCTCAAGTTTCCACCAGCAGAACATAGTTTCCCAGCATTGTGATAGTGGGAAATTGGCTCTACCAGCTCAACATCACAGCTTGAGTGAAGTTTTTAAAACCGATCAGTTGTATCCAAGGAGATAAACTAAGGGTGGAAAAAAGCGACTTCATCACAGACACAGATTTTACTAAATAAAGATCACAAGACTTCAATCAGCAAACATCCTGTCCACAAGGACAGGAGCTACTAACAAATGTAACTGCTGAGGGTCATTAAAGCATGAGTTCAGCTTCCAGTGCTTCAGGTTACTCAAAACACTAATGACCAAAACAGGGATAGAAAGATCTGTAATGATAAATGAAGCTCAAAGACATATCGATGTATCCCAGCTCCATCGAGCTGATTAAAAAAGGTTAAATGTGTAAAATTGCAGAAACAGTGTATCCGTGTGTCCAAAGGGTATGCAGTGTATCCTGTGCATGCATTCATCAGAAAACATAAAGCATTAACACTCGTGACAATACGGTTAAAAGGTTGAAACTTTTCAACCCATTTCACATTTCCTAACCCGTCCATTGAGTCTGGATTCCAGTCTTGGCTGGGCCGATTCTGGCACTCAGGCCTCATGTTTGACACCCCCGCCTTAGGGTAAGGCAGTGTGTTGCAGGGCTAACACAGAGAGGCAGACAATCTTTCGCACTCACGTTCATACCTACGGGCAGTTTAAAATCACCAATTAACAAAACATGATTAACTAATTTTCAACATATTTTCAGAAATTACCAATTATAAGTTAGATTTTTGATTTTAAATAAATATTCAAGACTAAATTTATAAGTTTTTTTTTTTCATTTTACAAATTATTTAGATTATTTTATAACATTGAGCAAAGGTAAAATAACACAATATCTAACGCATCAAAATAATTTATTTTATGTAGAAGAGTGTTATGGAATCATTACAAATAAATGTAGGATAAAGTCTGGTATTACTTATGCTAAAGAAAAAAACGCTCAGTGTGAAAGATCGAATTGATTGCCTCCGTTTTAACACTGGGTAGTGTTTGCTAATAATATTGTTTATGGAAGCATGTGTAACGTAAAACGCCTCAGTCCCAGCACAGAGCCCTGTGGAACTCCATGAATGACTTTGGCATGTGAGGAAGACTCAATGTTTATATGAACAAAATGGAATCTATCGGATAGATACGATTCAAACCACCACAGTGCATTTCATTTAATACCAAAAGTGAATTCTAGTCCTTGCAATCAAATGTTGTGCTCAAACACACCCAACGCTGCACAAAAAAAGAAGAAGAAAGAAAACAGTTCTGCAGTTGCAAAGCAAATAAAGACACAACAGTCACAGGACTTCCCAAGCGGAGTGTGTATTTCATGTAGTAACATACCTTCATGTCGTCGCTGGGCTGTAATGAAGTTCCAGTGATAGCGTGCTGTTCCAGCAGCTCTCTGAGCTGCTTAGTGTTGCTCTCCACATCCTGCAGAGTAGACTCACGCTTTGACACTTTCTCAGCCTTCTCTTGCTCCTTAATGTAGCACATACACAGGGAAAAAAAGGTCAATATTAAATTGATATAAAAGCACGATCATCATCTTTGATCACCGCAGCACTCCTCACCTCTTTGATGGTGCTTTTAATGAGCCTGTTGGCAGTTTCCAGGTCTTCAGGACGGCCACTTTTCAATAATCTGGCCAACAGCTATAAGCACAGAAAAAAATGTAAGCAGGATGAAACCAGTCGCACACCTCAGTAGACAAACACACATGCTCACCTTCGCTTTCTCCTCCTGGTCAAAAACAGACTCTGTGGTTCTCTGTGGTGGAGGAGCCATTATAACCGTGTCCGGCAGTTTGGGATCTTTCTCCACAATACCTAGGATCAGAAAAAGAAACCCACTCAAAAAAAAAATCAAAACACGTCCTCTCATCGAGACTTGAACACAACAGAACAACTAAGAAATGATTAAACTGTTACGTATCACGTGCTCAGTGTTAAATGAAGGGATTCTCAGGTAGAGCTTCTGAGCACAGATCTATCTGCATTGTATCTGCATGTATCTGCATTGTTCCTCACCTTGTTTCTTGAGCATGCTGTAAGCTTCCTGAATCTTAGGTTCATCTTTAAGCCAGAGCGTCCAGCCGTAGAGGACCTCCGTCACCCTGTCTTTGACTTTCTGTGGAGTCCACGAGCCAAAATACTGCTCGGAAAGATGGATCACATGTCAGTGTTACTGCAGAAAAAGCTGCTCATTAGAAATTTCCAGAATATCCTGGTCCCACAGTCTAGAACGTGGACCTTTGGATGTTGGACTAATTTTAAATCTATACGCTGTCAGATTCTTAGATTAGATTGGAGCAGATTTACTAACGTGCTGCACAGTTGGGAACACGGAGACTTTTGTGACTCTATCCCTGCAGTAACTGTCTAAACATATTAATTGAAGTACATTTTTCATTCTTATAATATGAATCTCTATAATTCAACATTGATGCCTTTTTTTTTTATTGAACTTTCGACTGAGCCTTGTGATATATGGAGGCTATTTTTTTTCTACGTTCACAAAAGTTCACTGCAGTTCATTTGAACTCTTAAATAATTTACTTCGTGGAAGTCTGACTACCAAGTTTTCAGACTGTTCTCACAGCTTTAAAAACTACCACTGACATTTTTGTGCCTGATAAGCAGTACCTTTGGTGTTAAGACTTTGATGAGCTCATTGAGAAAGCGAAACTTGGCAGCCTCGCTGTGGAACCGCTTGCCGCAGTTGTTCATACAAGCCTCGAGAATCTGGAAAACACCAAAAAAACAACAAGAAAAAAAACTCAATCCTAACCACTAGAAACTGAAGAACGTTTACACAGCACAGCACAGTGAGAAGAGATTTTCATCTTTGATATTTGTGGTTAACCACATTTAAAATGTCACATGTCCTGAGGCACATGGTCCTCGAGAAGCTTCTCCAAGTCGCATCTCATAGCAAAACACTGGCTACAAGCTGTGCGTGCCCTCACAGCAGCTTCAAACTTGGATTAAATGCCTCATGTCGCTTCGTCCACGTGATAAATATTAGTCACGGATATTATTCACCCCACCCCCACACACAGAGTTACAACAAACACATTTGTTTTTCTGTGATGGCCTCTGTCGACAAAAATACTGTGACAAATGCCGAGTATGACCGTTGAGAAGGAGAAATAAATCAATACAGAATTATAGTACTTGTCCGTGTTAAAAAATCAGATTCAAATTCAGACGTCTGCAGTTAAAAGCACCACAAAACAAGAGAGATAAATACATGCCGTGACATTAGTCTGGTTACTCACTGTGAGAGCCTGCAGAGCCACTTTCTCCTGTGGGGACTGGATTTTATGTGCGAGAAGACGAACGGCTACCTGCGGCCTGAATTGCAGAAAAATCTCAAATCATCTGAGTGAACTGCGAGCAAACATGTCGTGCAAACAGCTGAAGACGTAGTGTTTGCACAGCTTCCACACAGCGCTCTGCCCGCCTCAGCAGAAATCCACTGAAATGCTTCAAATAAAACAGGACTCTGCCTTTACGTGAAAGTACCTTTACACTTTATGCTGCATCATATCGGGAAGAGTGAAGGGGAAAAGGTGTCACAGACTTCCCTCTTGATCTTGCGCGATGGTGTAACTGACAAACTGTGATGGCAACATGGATGTGAAGCAACTATTTCCCAAATGTCTGAGTTGTGTTGAAGTCATTTTTAGAACCAAGTGGCTTTGCTTACAAAACTTTAGTTTATACTAACTACAATAAAGAGGGAAAGTATACAAGTTTTACAGGTGCTTAATTTATAGGTAAGACTGAAGAAAGCAACACTCTGCTCACCCGTTAGTCTCCTGGTTGACAAGCTCGTAGAAACCCTGAATACAGTCCCATCTGTCCTCCTGATTATTTGGGTCCGTGGCCTGATCTGGACAAAAAAATCAGACCACAGAAAGAGTGAAACACAGAAGAAGAAGAAAAAAAAAAGATTTTCTGTGGAAGTGAAAATTAAAGATCTGCACAAAAAGGGGAAACAAAGCCTATGTTGCACCAAGTGTGCTTCTAATGTGTGGAGGCTAGCTAGCACACATATTTGTGCACTATCCCCACCATATAAGATGAAACTGTGTTTTATTTTCCTTTAAGTACTCTATTTAATAATTTTCTAGATCCAATTTTTTTTTGATGAAATACATAACCAGGGGTAGGGGAGGGTTTGTTTTTTTTTATTTACAGAAAAGCCTGAAACCACATTCAAAAAAATCACTTCTTTATATTTTGCTGTCATGGAAGTAGACTTCGTATTATTTTTAAAGTGGTGTTGAGCAATAGTTCTCCAGGCCTTCTGAAGGTCTTTCAAAGTTTGGACATTGGCTACTTCTTTACTGATTTTCAGTCCAGTTCCTATACCTGACCTTTGCGTATGTGGGAAGCCACTTAACACTAACCTATGAATCATTCATGCACAAAAGGCACCATTCTTACAAATTCCATTCATAGATTCAGCTAAAGCCAATCACTTAGGACCACTTTTAAAAAGTTACAAGCAAGAAGGGCTACTTGGAAGCAAAATATAAAGAAATGAGGGTTAGCTCAAGGTTTTTGCACAGTACAGTGAATACAAGAAATATACAGAGGAGCTTATCCAATAAGGCGACGAGGCTTTAACGCACATTTTAATTGAGATTCTGGATGTCTACAAGCCTGAAAGTCGACTGGTTTTAAAATGTTCTGTGTTTTTATTGAAACACCTGTAGTGACTCTGATATATGTCCTCCACACAATGATACTAAGACTAAACCTAACATTGAGCCAATTAAAAACTAAACTAAACAAAAAGTCAAAAAGAAATAAAGATAAAACCCATCATAAAAATAAAAACTATACATGACCATGCTATGAACTGACTGCTTCAGCACTACCTCTCTCCTGTCTGGGTGTCTTCTTGTGTTATTTATTTTAAGTAATGCTCTGAATACAGTATGAGATGCATTATGGGCTGAATTATTGCAGTAAAACCTATAAAAACCTGCTCTGTACTTCATCACAGGTCTAAAGTCAATACCAGCTACTTATTTGGTCACACGCCTGCTTTTATTACATAAAAAACCTGTGACAGCGCGCGCACTTCTGCAGGTGACACGCGAACACCGCTTCTCTCTCTCGCTCTCTTTGACGCACACGCACGAGCGAACAACTTCCTGTTCCAGCTGAGAGTTTCTAGAGAATACCAAAACGCAGTTTAAGTTAAATAAATAAAACAGGGCGTTGTTTCGCGCATAAAAAGTGTGTGCAGTGATGGAGTCAAACTGAAGTCACGAGCCGACCGTTGACGGGACGTTAGCACGGACCGTCTCGCCAATGAGAAGTACGCTAGCTCTGCAGACTCGCAGCTGAACGCCAACAACAACACAAACTTTTTCTGTTCCTTGTTCACTTACTGAGCCATGACTCGAAAGTTTCCTGGCTGTCACCGCTCGCCATCGCCGTCCGTCTCCTGCCGGTCCAGAGCCGCTTAGCTGCTGACTGTTTCTCTCTGGCGGAGAAGCGGAGGTGTCAAACTGCCGTCTGTGTACGCTGACATGTGACACTCACGCCCCTGACACACCAACCACGTTACACCCCCTCACTGCCTGCATCAGCACGCGCTCACACACATATCTGCTTATCTTCAACTCTGTCGTGTTTGTCAGTGCAGCGGCGGAAAGAAGGGACTCAAAAACACACTTCATGCACACTTCTTCACATTTCACACGGAAAGCTTTTACTTCGTTAGATCACCCAAACTTCTTTCCACTTACAGAAGAATTCATTAGGAATCGATATTTTTATATTGTTTATATTGTTTGGAGTACTTTTAGTACTTTCATAGCGCATTTCTTATGATGCTTAATTCATAATGTATTAAGTTCAAACGTCCTTCACCTCTTCTTGTAAAAATATTTATTCTAAATATAATCTGACTCAAAATTAAAAACAAAAACAAAAAAACAAAAACGTGCTTTGATAATTCAACTAAGAGTCCATTATCTGCGATGCAGTTCTCAGAATTGTCTCCAACAGTCTGCCCAGTTGGGATAAACCATTGTGGATGCATTTCACCGGCTTTGATGCAAATGTAAGTGTCACCAAGAGCACTGGAGAAGCAACAAAAACATAACCACCAAAAAGGAAATGGTTTTGGAGGTGATGGCCACAGATCATCACTCTCTCAGCTCAGCTGACAGTAACTGCAAGCACAGGTACTACTAAAGGACTCAAGGCCCTCATGATAGCCTCATGGAGTCTGCTGTTCATGTTCTTAAAATAATTGTATCTCACTATTTAACCCTCCCTGTACCAAAAAAGTCAAAGACTAATTGATCATTAGCAAATGTGAGGACCTCTGTAAAAGTATTCAGGGGTGTATCTACACTGAGAAAGATCATTCACAAAAGGAACGTTTAAGAGAGTCTTTTGTTTCAGACTCTATAAACATGCTAAATGAGGCCCAATGTTAAAGTTCATGACAGTACAGACTGTTCAGATCTAAATTTGCATCTGGCAAAACCCACGAAAGACTTCTGGAACAATGTCCTTTGAACAGATTAGAGCAGAGTGGAGATGTGCGGCTATAATGCACAGTATTATGCTTTGAGAAAACCAAACACGTTAGACCGTCAAGCACAGTGGTGGAGGTGTGATGATTTGGGCTTGTTTTGCAGTCACTGAGTCGACCATAAACTCCTCTGCATACCAAAGTATTCTAGAGCCAAATATGCTGCACAACAGCTAAAGCTTGACCCAAACAGGGTCAAGCAACAGGACAATGATCACAAACACAGCAACAACTCTACATCTGAAAAAGAAAAGACTCAAACTGTCGCAATGGCCCAGAGTCCAAACCTCAGCCGTATTGAAATGTTGTGGTGGGAACAATGCATAACATAAAAAATGCCCCAAAAACCTCAATGCACTGAAGCAATGTGATTAAAAAAACAACAACAAAAAAACAAAAGTAAATCCTTCACAACAAATGAAAAATTAATAGTCATAAAATGAACAATGACTTCAAATTATTGCTGCTAAATGCAGTTCTACAAGAACTACCCAATGATGGTATGTGCTCAGTTTTTCACATGCTGCTTCTGCATTTTCCCTTTGTTTAATAATAACAGTGTAATTTTTACATTTTTTGTCATGTCAGGTAATATTCACCTATATTTTTATTTTAAAACCTGGTTACAACCAGATTGTTTTTATAAAGCTCAGTAGTGAAAGAGGGTGCATGATAACAAAAGGTCACTCTGCAACAAGATTTCACTTCAAATGTTTAAGCTGGCGGTACTTCACACATCAGTCAACCCTGTGATGTCACAGGATTATAGAAGCAGAAGCATTATTTCACTGCCTGTTATTCTATATAACAGCATTATAAATGTCAGTTATCACACTGGTGTGGTGGAGTAAATAAATACTCAATAATATAAAAATGAAGGGAAGTAGAAGTACTTCAGAATGTGATTTCAAAATGTTTACCCTAGAATTTCTGTAAGCCATCTTTCATAACCAAAAACATTTTGAAAAGTAGTTAAATTAAATGGTTTAATTACACAAGTCTTACATCATTTATAAAACAGAAAAGCATATAATAAAAGAATATATTATGTCACATTCAAAACAAAAAGCTGTTAACTGACAGGAGAACAACTGAGCAGAAACTCTGTATTAAATTTAAATATATTTATCTATCGGTCTTTGGGGTATTTATTTATTGACGTTTTCATCTTCATCTTTTACATCTGCCCTTGAAGTTGTAACACTTGTGACTGTACATCTGTGGACCAGTTCATTAAAATTTCTTCAGTAAAGTACCTTGATATTTGCATGGAAATATCAAGGTACTTCCCATCCATGTGTGAGCACAGCAACAGGTGTAAGGTCTCACATTACTGCATAACACAGTCTGAGTGCATAAAATTTTCTGCACCTTTTTCTAATATTTCGAGTATTAATCGGCATTCAGTTTATTTTAAAGGTGGCAGAATCAGCATATGTGAGATCAACTGTCAACATTCAGGCCAACCAGTCCAGCAGCAGCTGTTTTCTTCAGGCTTCCATCAGTTAGCGCAGTGACTGTAGGGTGACGTAGTGGCGGGTAGTTTGGTCGTTAATCTGTTTCGTTTGAAAGCAGCAGAAGTTTCTGGAATCGATGGATGATCTCTGCAGAGCCCAGAGACACCATCATCTCAGCAACACTGGGACCTTGCTGCAGGTCAGAGGGGAAGAGAGGATCAGGGGTCAGAAAAGTTGACACAATCAACCCAGCCAGCATCCTGTGTGAAACACAATCAAGAAACAGCTTCCTCTTTCTTCATGCCTGCCCTCACCAAGTAAGCAGGGCCAACGTGGCGACTAAGTAGACGACTGTTTGTCATTACCGCCACCTTTCAAAAACGGTATTGTGGAGTTCAGTTGAGTCATTTCACATAAGGAAATGAACATATGGCACGTGCTATGAGTATTTTTCTGATTTCAGCAGCTAGACATGATTGAATCTGCTGATCTGCAGTTTGACAAACACAATTTTAGAAATGAGACTACAGAAACGAAAGTGATCTTTAAAAAATGACCGATGGACATTTTAAGTTCCTCGTAATATGCTACTTATCTGTCACTACTCTAAAGCACACAGTGTTCTTAAGGACGAGCAAACGTGACCTCTAAAGTACCGGTAAAGATCAAAACGACAAACACTGATCTTTGCTTGATTAATTTAACCACAGACCTCACAACCTCATTAACATGCAGGTGTGTGTGTGTGTGTGTGTGTGTGTGTGTGTGTGTGTGTGTGTGTCTACTTCTGACAAATATGGGCATCTATATGCAACCTTTCAGATAGGAAGAATCAGGCCGGCAGCTACAATAAGACACGTGCAGAATAAAAGCTCTTATAAGAACATATAATTGTTATATTTATTATGAAATTATTACGCTTTTTTAAAATATGTTCGTTATTTTTTTAACTGCTATAACAAATCTTGTATCTACAACTCTTCATTAAAGACTGCAGTCTGTATCTGACGCTGAAAAAAAAAACAGTATTACATCATTGCAGGAACTTCTTTTAACAAAGTCTTGTGATCAGTATGGGAACTGGATGACTTTGCAAGAAAAGGTCAAAACATCAATTAAATGTAGTTGGGGTCAGAGTTGAACTGTCACCACTGAATTAGTGACCACCTCTGCTTGTGGACTTCTATTTTAACTACTACAAATACTTATTGACTTTTTAGAACCCATTGGGAGACAAGCTTGAGAAAAGACGAGCACTATAGTAATTCAGAACTAGCTTTACTTCACAGATTTTGCACATTTCCGTGTGTTCTTTTTCAGACAAGCTGCAGCGCACATTACTCCCACACCTGACTCATTTTTAAACTTGTGGTTTCCAGTTCTGACAGAGTTAAACTCAAATGGCAACAAGTGATATTTGATAAAACTTCTGCAGGTCATTTAGAAGGTGATACGACTTTATCACCGCTTAAAAAAAGTAACATTTTCAAAACACATAATGACTATAGACTGGGTAACGTTTTAGGAATGAAAGATGGCACATTGTTTGTTGGAAATGATCACCTTACAGATCATTGAATTCAAATACACACAAGAAATAAAAGTGTAAAAAATAATGCAGCAGGCTACTCCATTCTGCTTAAATTGCATTGTAGCAACTCAGAATGACACTCAGTCGTTTGTTTGGCCCCCACGTGCTTGTATGCGTGGCTGACAATGTTGGCGGACGCTCCTAAAGACTGAAGTTGATATCCTTATGGCGATCTCCTCCCAGATCTGGACCTTGTTCATTTGAGCTCCTGGACAGTCTGGTAGCTTAGACTGGAGCCAAACATAATGTCCCAGAGGTGCTCTGACCAGCGTAGGGTCTGAGTGGGTCCAAGGATTTCATCCCAATACTTAACAGAAGGGGTGCTGTTGCTTAGCCTATAGAGGTGTGTGTGTCCCTCTATGGATATGCCTCGCCAGACCATTACTGGCCCACCACCAAACCAGTCATGCTGAACGATGTTACAGCATTATTTTCTCCACGGCATCCCCAGACCCTTTCATGTCTGTCCAATGCTCAGGTTGAACCTGCTCTCATCTATTAAAAGCACAAGGTGCCAGTGGTGAACCTGCCAGTTCTAGTACTCTATGGTAAATGCCAAACATGCTTTACAGTGCTCAGCAGTGAGAACAGGGCTCACTAAAAGATGTTGGGCCCTCAGCCACCCTCAAGAAGTCAGTTTGTGATTATTTGGTTCGAGACAATCACACCAGTGGCCTGCTGGAGGTCATTTTATAGCTCAGATATTAGAAGATATGATATTAGAAGTGACACTGACCCTAGCCAAATGCAAAACTAGTCAAAAAGAAGTCAGAAAAGATGAGGAGGGAAAAATGTCAGTGTCCTCCACCTGTAAAACCATTCCCGTTTTGAAGCTTGTCTCATTGTTGCCTCTCTAGTGCACCTGTTGTTAGCTTCATTAACACCAAAGCAGCTGAAACTGATTAACAGCCCCCCACTGCTGCTTAAGAAGAAGAACTGACTTGATCTTGTACTCTGATTAAAAAGTGTTCCTTTATATTTTAAGCAGTGTATATATTTGTTTTTGCTTTGCAACCACATATGCAGATAGTGTATAAGATGAAAAACAGAGTTCGCACTATCTGTAATGAAAACACT